TAAACATGTGCTTGTATTACTTGTTTTGTAACCTATTTACACGCGACAAGACCCTTACATTACACAGACATATGGTTTGTCAGTGTCCACATACAACAATGAATTAATTTGGTTAGATGAAAGCCACAAGACAAAGCAGAATGACCTGAAAAAACATTGCGGCCAAACCATCGCAAGATCAGTCATTGTCCAGCAAGGAAGTTACTATATAATATCAAAGACGCGTATAATACATCAAACGCATCATTAAGATAGTAAAGAGTCCAGTGTATGAACCCTGGAAATTGCCTCCTTCCTTCCACCGCCTCCTCTCTCCATCCTTTTGTTTCTTCGCCTGCTGTCTCATCCCTCCGCCCTTCTTCAGCTGCTTCCCCTCGCCGTCGTTCTGACAGCATCATTAACCCTGTGTGATTGTGGCTGCAGTGCTCACTGCCAGAGGCCTCTCGCACATAAACACAGTCTCAATTAACATGTGCTACACTGGAAATATCACTGGGGAGTATTAACACATTAAGGATGAAACACTAAAGACAGGTCAGGGGTGTCATCGGGAGCATGGCAGTGCCTCCTCCCTCCCTCCTACTCCTGTGGTGATATAACAGATTAAGTTTACTTTAAAAAGTAACCAGATCCCTCAAATAAGCCACGAGGATTCTGGATGTGAGTGATCAGATAAGAGCCTCCGTGGGCACACAGCTCCTTTCAACAGCACAGAAAAGGCTTTTAAAAGCTTTCTCAAGGGCTTGTAACTCCTCTTATGACACTCATATGATCCATGAAGCCGACACTGGTTAATTGTTACTGACCTCTTCAAATTAAATTGCTCATAAAAAGTGAAAAGTGAGTTATAAAATTAATTTGGTAGGGTGTTTGGCTAAAAGTTAAAACCATACAGAGGTTTAGTGAAGGGGAAAATCACAGTTTTTACACTGTTTTAAATAGCAGAAATATTTTTCCACTCTTCATCCTGGCTGAGTGGGCTCCATTAAGATCCTATCTGTGTGTGAGATAAAATATTATTACAATATTTCCAGCCAGACAGTGCAGGAGGAATGTTAACTCAAAAAGCTGGAAAAGCACGTTTAATGCCGAGTAGAGCTGCTGAAAATGTTTCTCCCGCTTCACATGAACACATCACATCAGTTTGTCTGCTCCTGCTGCTCACCTCCATCCTCACCTCTGCTGAGAAACCCAATCTATAAACAGGAAGGCATCACTACAAATGGAGGAATCAACTTTGACCCTTCGACTCGATGCCAGTGTTGACACAAGAAGTCAAGCAGCAAAGTCAAACCTGTTCTACTTCCCTTCATCCTGGCATGCAACGCTTGCATGAAGATATGTGGGAGGCAGCTGCTGTTCAGTGGTCGAGAGCACTTTTCCCAGCTTATTTTTGTTGAAAGTGAGAGAGCAATTGCACAAAAATATGGAAAGTTCAATTACAGCGAAGAGGTACAAATGCTATTAAGTGTAGAGAGTTGAGAAATTTGTTTCAAGCTATGTTTTTGAGATAACTAGCTTTTAAAAATATATTTGTTCTGCTTTAAATCAATAACCTTGATGGGTCAGTCCACCCAAATTACAAACAAAAACCCTTTTTTATTCATTTACCTCAAGTGGTATCTGGCATGCAGCTGATTTATTTGTCCAGTTCTTTAGATTTCTGCCACCATTGCAGGAGACTAAAGGTGAATGGAATTTAATCACACCACTGAAAATTACATTTTAAAAATTCAACAGCATTTGTCACTGTTACTCTCTGTGAACTGTTTTCATTGGAACTACTTTGTCCCCAAGAAGTCCCTGTGAAAGCATCGCTAGAGACCACTAGACATAGGCCACAAGGCAATAGCCAATACTCAGATCACCAAACCAAATCCTCCTAAGGCAACCCCTCTTACCAGACACCAAAAATAAAGTCTGTAAATTTTATTTCCCACACTACCAGGAATAAATTGTGATGTGAAACTAGTGAATCTTTTTTTTTTTATTGAATATACTCTGTACCTAATAGCTTTATTGCATACTAATGCTTTATAGATTAGTTTTAAACCAATAAAAACAACACATTTTGGGTGTCCAAGTTACAAAAAAATATTTTGCTGATGTTATCATTTGTATTTAATAATAATAAAGTATAAATGTGGTAAGTTGATTGTAAATGGATTCTGGACCCAATCCTGTGCAGCCCTTTTTGATAACATAAGTGGTCATATGGTCAATCAAACTACCTGGCAACCCAAAAGTTGGTCTAATAAATTTTAACTGATCAATAAAGCTAATAGAAAGTGGTACCCAACACTATAACACAGATTTCTACTTTTCATAAGGGAAATGATAAATTGTAGCGTATAAGTGTGTTCAAATCCATGCATAAGTAATGTAAAATAAGAGAAAACAACAACCACTGAAGTGCCACTGAGCAACCTACAAGTGCTGAAATGGAGCTGTGTATTGTCTGACAGTCAGGTTGCTCTATGAAACAGTAGCCTGTTGCTAAAACAGGACTAAATAGACCTTCCTGGACAATTACCTGAAGATCTGCATTCTTCAGAAACCCCTAGAAGCTTATTATAGAGAGGCCTTATTATTTAAGCCTCCTCATGTCTCAGTGAGAAAAGCCTGAACACGGAGCTGGCTGTGAGTGCCTGAGGTATAGATCCATATAAAAATGTTGACACTCTGAGATGAGTCTTGTTATGTTGGGTCAGGTCATGTCACAGCCTCTGGCGCTGGGTCGTCAGGTTCATGAACAGGCATGCTAATCAGCTCACAGGGCGTGTGGCCAGGCACCGTCTTCCATCTTTGTGCGCAGTCTGTGTGTCACAAGGCAGGTGCAAAATGCTTTGATTTAACTGATCATCTGGATGTCTGATCTTGAGTTCATTTTTCAAAATCTTGCCTTTCTGTTGTCAGGAGACTCACTTGGACGGGGAATGTGCACATATAGGCGGCGGCCATTTTAGTGTGATTGTCTCTACTGCGTGGAATAAATAAAAGTTGATGTAATCATTTACATTTTGTGTTGTTTCCTGAAGGGTTTGATTTGACAGAATCAGTACTGTATCTCCACTTTCTGTTTCCACTGTTGTTTATTTGTCTTTCAGGTATTTTTTTCCTTGTGTACCCCTGTTTCTGTTTGATCTGTGTTTAAGGCATGTCACACCTCAGTGGCTACCTTGTTCAGTTTGTTGACATCAAAGCACAGAAACCCTTAACCCTTAATAGGGCACTTATTGAAATACTTGGAAATTTAAAATTGTTATTGGTGGATATAAGAAGATATTTTTTCTGTTTTTACTTTTTTTTTTAAAGTTTCAGTTTTGGGCTGCAAATCAAGGTCAATGATGTCTAGGTGGACTGGCAGTCATTGGCACAGCAGGCCTCCTATCACATAGCAGGACTGAGCAGACAGCTGCTGCAATAGAAATATACCACATCAATATACTATGAAAATATGTAATAAATAAGCCATANGCAAATCAAGATCAAGCCCACTTTGAGTTGTTTGTGAAAGAAAGCAGTGAAGTGTATATTAGTATATCACCTATGATGCCATAGAAGTGTAATAAAAACTATCCAAAGAAGTTACCATATATGGTTCCTCGCCTGAAAAGGGTTAAATCTTAATTTATGTTTTCCATGGATTTTATTGACCTGGAACTGACCTAAAAACCATGGTAGAAAGCAAGTATATTACACCGTACTTAAGAACAAATTTGAGGTACTTTTACTTTACTTGAGCATTTTCTCCTTATGACACTTTCTACTCCTACTCCACATCTCAGGGGGAAATATTGTACTTTTCAATACATTTATTTGATAGATTTAGTTACTAGTTACTAGATTTTTGCATACACACTATTTTTTAAATTAACCACAAAAGCTGAAACAATTGCCAGAAAATTAACTGTTTACTATTTTGATAATCGTTTCAGTAATTTTTTATGTAAAAAATATTTCATGGTTTTAACTTTAATGTGAAAATGTGCTGCTTTCCTTTGAATTATTTTCATAGTTTTATTTATTTTGAAGTTTGTTAATCGGTTGGACATAACAAAGATTGTGAAGCTGTCACCACGGGCCCTGGGTAATTGTCTCACTGTTTTCTGAACTTTTACAAACCAAACAATCAATCAGTTAGTTAAGAAAATAATCAGCAGATTAATCCATAACGAAAATAGTCATTAGTTGCAGTCCTATACAAAACAGTTCAAAATGAGCTCCAACTCAACCAACAACAGTAAAATCCTGCTTTTACAGTAAATCATAAGTAATATTAATCTAATGATATAATATATAACAGTATAACACAGGGGACTTTTACTTTAAGTACATTTCCATGATTATAGTTATATACTTTAATTTAAGTATTTTCAATACAGGACTTTTACTTGTAACAGAGTATTTTTACTCAATAAAGGATCTGAGTACTTCCTGCATCATTGATGAAAACCATGTTTCTGTAATAACATATAATGCATATTTGGCTGCTGGTCAAATGTATTTTATAGTTATCATAACTCTTGACTTCAGATAAGAAGTTTCATGTAATGCAGCTGCTGTGGAGCAGAGATCTGTGGTTGGGCCTGACCTCATGGCCGTGGAATGTATTCTTTGTGATAAAAATATCAAATGGACAAGTGGGAAAACAAATCTTGTTTGTGATGGCGAGTGATGAAAACAGGGAACTCCCTGTAGTTCTTAATGCCATGTTGGATTTTGGATTTCCATATTTGGCTTCTCGTGTTCCCAAGGATCTGCAGATGTTTGACTGATAACAGTTTCAGGTAGGATGTGGTTATTAGAGAGCTGCTTGCCCAAAATGTCCTCTTATCCCTCAATGAAACTGCTGTTGCTGTGCGTTAACGTATAAAACGCGCCACGGAAATGAGACTGAATGCGTAAAGTCAGAGGTTCAGGTGTTGTTTGCTCACTCAGCTTCATTTTTCGGGACATGTGTCCTCTGAGCGCCGTTGATTGGTCCTGAGGAGCAGTGATGTCACCGCCTTTTTATGATGTCCCGGCCGGTGCAGCAGCTCGTGCAGGCTGAAGGCGAGAGAGGAGCTCCAGATGGAGTTGGTGCACGACGGGAGTGGAGCCGTGGCTCGTGCTACAGACTGGAAAGGCTGCCTCGCACTGCCTTGATGAACCCGACCTGGTCCCGCACACAGCGCAGCAGCCCGTCATGGGGGACGGCGGCGCGTCCTCAACGGTGAACTTCCAGAATGTCTCGGGGAGCGGCGCGTCGGACGCACCGGGCTCCGCCGCGTCCGAGCAGTGGATGGCGGGGATGAGCCTGGTGATGGGTTTGATCGTCCTGTGTATCGTGTTCGGGAATATCCTGGTCATCATAGCCATAGCCAGGACGCAGAGGCTGCAGACGCTCACCAACGTGTTCATCGTGTCGCTGGCGAGCGCGGACCTCATCATGGGGCTGCTGGTGGTGCCGTTTGGCGCTGCGCTCGAGGTGCGCGGCTCCTGGCAGTACGGCTCCTTTTTCTGCGAGTTCTGGATCTCCGTGGATGTCCTGTGCGTCACCGCCAGCATCGAGACCCTGTGCGTAATCGCCATAGACAGGTACGTGGCCATCACCTCGCCTTTCCGCTACCAAAGCTTGTTAACCAAAGCTCGGGCCAAAGCGGTGGTGTGCATAGTCTGGGCTATTTCTGCGCTGGTGTCCTTCCTGCCCATCCTGATGCACTGGTCCCGGGACAGTGTGGACACAGCCTGCTACGAGGACCCCGAATGTTGCGACTTTGTCACCAACAGGGCTTACGCCATCTCCTCATCCATCATATCTTTTTACATTCCCCTACTGGTCATGATATTTGTTTACGCCCGCGTATATAGAGAGGCAAAAAAGCAGCTGAGGAAGATCGACAAGTGTGAGGGCAGGTTTCACAACACCTTAACCGGACTGACCTCCAAGTGCAAGAAGAGGCCGTCTAAAATCCTGGCGCTCAGGGAGCAGAAGGCGCTCAAAACGTTGGGCATCATCATGGGGACGTTCACCCTGTGCTGGCTGCCTTTCTTTATAGTCAACGTCGTGCGGGTGTTTTGCGCAGAGGTGGTGGACAAGGACCTTTTCGTGTTCCTAAACTGGCTCGGGTACGTGAACTCGGCGTTTAACCCAATCATTTACTGCCGGAGCCCGGACTTCAGGAAGGCTTTCAAGAGACTGCTGTGCTGCCCGAGGCAAGCCGACCGCAGGCTGCACATCAGCTCCTGCGACCTGTCCCGGTGCTCCGGCGGGTTCGTCACCGCTCTGGAGCCCGGCACATTGGGGTTGTGGTCGGACTGCGCCGGCTTGGACAACAGCGACAGCAGCCTGGCGGGGACCGTAAAGCTCACTCACTCTCACTCCGAATCACAGCTGTGAAGGAAAAAAAAATAAATAAAAAAAACTTTTGTTCAGGTGGATTACAGCAGCCTGGAAAACAGATGGTGACATAAAACGGGCGTTGACTCCTTGAGCATGGGGTTTCTCTTTGGCAAAGGTATGCGCAAGAGCCGTACCTTATAGTCTAAGTGGAGCCCTTTTTATATCTGCATCGGAGGAGCGAAATTACCAGAGATGTATTTGAAAGCCATATTTTTAAAAAGGGGCCCCAGGGCCATTGTTATTTCAAAGGTTCCTAAATTTTCTCCAGGGCAGTTCAGCGCTGAGGAGATGATCCAATTTGCCAAATAATATCGAGCCTAAAAAGGTAGATAGATGGATCTGATAAATCATAATGGGTGCATGCACTTAAAACAGGATCCAGAGCGCACGCAGGCTCCTGCGGTTTATATAATTTCTTATTTTATTGAATCAGCAGTTCAGTATTGAGGAGGACAATCTATCTACAATCTATGTGGGTATCCTATTAATCACCCCCCCCCCCCCNNCCCCCCCCCAAGGATGGGTCACAATTCGTTCTTACAATGACCGCTCGGACGCACTGTAATAAACTGGTTGTTATTTTAAAACATTGGACATGAGAGAGGCATTTGTCAGAGTGACTGTACTGTAGTCATGTAGTGCTCACAATGTGTTTTACCTCACAGACATTGACAAGTGCAATTTGTACGACAGGTATTTGTTTATATTAAACATTTATGTAAAATAGGTGTATTTATTCCGCGCTGTCTTTTACAACCAAGAAAGTAAACGTGGGTCCGATTCCCACGCCCTTTGTATATATTATATTATAGTATGTGGTGTTTAGTACTGAAGTGAGGAATTGGAGCCTCTGTCTTTGTCTTTCTCCTTTAAGCTTGACATACTGTTGTGAGGTGGTGTGTTGACTATTGTGAAATAAAAGGAAGTTTCATTGTTAATTACTGTTTGAGCTTTATTCTGTTAATATATTTAAAGTTTATTTACAGTTTTTTTACCCCACATGAAGCTACAGTGATCATTAAAATCGCCTGAGGAGAAAGAATTTCATTCCTTTCCTCCCAACTTCATTCACAAAATAATTTACAAGGATTAAAATCAAGCCAAGAGCAAATTTTTTTTGTTTAAACAGCAGGACATCTAGAGGTAAACAATTGTTTTGCAGGATTTGAGCCAACTGATGTGATGCTAAACTCCTCTGTACTGGTTTGGATTGCTCAGAGCGACTGGAATCTGATTGGCCTCTGGGGAGAGATGAGCCATGAAAATCAAATGTTTAAACAATGGATTTGATGCATACTCATGCACAGCGGATCAGTATGGTTTTGAATGAATTGTTTACATGTTTAACCTGCTTTGTCCTCAGCTGTGCCCTGATAAAGGTTCATCCGTACAGCACATCTGCATTTTAAGCACTCTGCACAGGCCATGGAGTGCAAATCAAACAGTGAACTGGTTGTATTGAGATAATGGTGAATCAGTTTGAGAAAGAAAATGATTTCTATCAGTTCAAGTGTTAAAACTGCAGTAGGTAACTTATAAAAATAACATTTTGCCATTTGCTGAAACGTTCGACAAAACAAAACAGCGAAGATAACCAATTAAAGCTGAGAAAGAAAGTTGATTGTTGAATTCCCACCTTTGGGACCCAAATATAGGTATTTGACGTCTTTCTCTCTGATTGGTTGTTTTTGTTCAGACGTGGTGGATTTTTATAAATGCCATTAGGAACCAATCAGAAGAACAAAAATTTTTTTCACAGATTATCTGTCTCACGTACTACTGTCAGGATATAGTGACATTTTCAGCAAATACAACAAAAAGTTATTTTTACACTACAGCTTTAAAGCCTCATTGATTTTCACACTCAAACTGGACAATTGGAGGAATTGATTTGCTGCATGTTAGCACTTTTAACGCATTTTATCCCAGTTTAATGTGTTTAAAGGGGTAAAAAACATGAGCTACATGTGACTGTTTTTCAACATTCTAAGTCAATGCAAGTTAAAACGTTAAAAGGTAACTACAGCGATGTGGTATTGCTCTTGCATAAATCTGGGGGAATCATAAGAAACAGATCAAATGGTGAAATAATGGTCAAAATCTGTGCAGCAGAGGCCTAACTGGTCCCTGGTATGTGTCCTGTTCTCAAAACACTACATTTCCTGTAATGCAACATGCCAGCGTTTTTTATTAGACCTTCCCTACCTCCTAAACTCCACATCTTCAGTTTACTTAAGTGTATTTTTAAACTATTCGCTGCATAGCATCTCATTCAGGAGGTGAGATAGCTCTTGAGTGTTGCTGTTTTGATTGTTGCCTCATCCACGGGGCCTCACTCTGAAAGCCAATAGAAAATGTTTTAGTAAATATCATGACAGCTGGTGTTATGAAGTGGCTCTTACAGAGATTTACAGTTCTTCCTGGGGAATATTAATTAGCCCTTAAGCTGGACGACGTCTTTAAAATGCATTAGCATGATGTGTTCTGCTAATGATGCTCTCCCAGAGGGGCGAGCCGCACATTTCAATTAGACCAGAAAAACTGAATGGAACTGAGCTCAGCTGTTTTGGCTGTTTAGATATGATTGGCTGAACTAATGTGTGTGAATGAGACTCAGCTTTTAGAAAGAAAGAAAAAAAAAAAACAACAGCAGTGCAGCCAGTATCATTGATGGCCTCCTGGCAAAGACCCACTTCATTATTAAGCATTGTTTGTTTGGCAGGACGTTTGTGTTTGGGCAGTGGGCTCACAGATGGAGAAGCTAATCAGCGGCTTTAAGAGTAATTGTTTTCAAATTGCGTGTGTATTAGTGGACATTTTAGCTGCTGCAAGTCAAAGTAGATGAATCTATATCTATATCAGCGTGAACTCTGCGGTAACAGAGGTTACTGTTTTCAGAAATGATTTACCCCTGGTGCAATACTGATAAGTGGAGTATTAGGGTATGCCCCAAGTAATCATGGTGCAACTAATTTTAGTAGCTGATTTTGCTACAAACTCACTACTAGTTACTAAACCATATATATTTATACACATATATATATAACTGGTACGTATGTACGTATATGTATATACATACATATAGCTGGTACAACCCAGTGCAGGAAATTACTGCTACAGCCAACAAATTGCAAGCAGTTTGTTACCTTTCAGCAGAGACAGGCTAGCTGTCTCCAATCTTTATGCTAAGCTAAGCTAACTGGCAGCTGGCTCCAACTTCCCTATTACGGCACAGATGTGAGAATGGTATTGATCTTCTCATCTAACTCTAGGTTAGAGAATAAGTGTATTTCCCTAAATGTGGAACTGTCCTATTTATTGTCCATTGAATATGGGGACATTTTACAAGACCAGGTTGAGTAATTCACCAATAAATATCCATTTTCCCAGATGTTAATGCACCCATAAAAACAAATGAAACTTATTACATAAACTTATTCAAAGCAGCAGAATGAAGTCAGACATTTTTTCACAACATCCCAAATCACTGCGTCCACGCTGCATTGAAACTTTAAAGGACTGTCTGGAGCTTTCAGATCCTCTCAGGCAACAGGTGTGAGATTTCATTCAATTATTACATGGGCTGAACCTCCTCTCGTCCAAATCATGAATATTGTCTCTGCCAACCACCTCCCACTGCCATCTGTACTTGATTAAAGACTGACACAAACATCACCGAACAGAATTAAAAAGATTACGATTGTGAGATGCCTTTGTGAATCTTAATAATCTTCTCATTTCCTAAATGCTACTGAGATATTGACGCTAAGACACATTTGCTTCATAACATATTTTTCATTGGATAAGTCTTTAAATTACCATTTGAGTGTCATTTACATAATACATGACACATAGGACCAAAAATTGGATTTTGACAACAGAGATGAGTAATTCAGCTAATTACAGCAGAGATCCAACAGAAGCATGATTACAAACATATAAAATGCTATACAAATACAGTCATTTTGTTCAGGAGTTGGATTGGAGGGGAGGTTGTTCCAAGGCAGAAGGTAAGAAAAACAAAACAGCAATTTGTGAAAACCAGACCAGAAATGTCAGCACCTGGAGATAATTATTGCTGATTGCTAATGATTACAACCTTATCATTTCCCAACAGATATGCTAAATCCATGCAGTGGGTCCATAGAAATGTACTTTTGGCACCCCTGTGCCCATTTTGAATCTTTTTTTTTTTTGGTTGTTTGGTTTCCAAAACCAAGTGGTGGATTTAGTGGACTTTTTTAAAGAAATTGCTACTATAATAATGCAATAATACAATACAATACAATAATGCTACTAGGTGAAACAACATTTTAAATCATATTTATGAATGTACAGTAAAGCTAAACAAAAAAACATGAACTTGTGGAGACCCTGTAGCTGGCACACGCCTCTGATTGAAAACATTGATAAAATTCAGCTTCCATTGGCTAATAAATGCCTAGTAACAGTGTAAGATAAAGTTCCCCTGTGATTTTTATCACTCTAAATCACGCTGCGAGTGTCGAGGTCCGGTGCCAAAAGCAGGTGCTACACTTCATGTGTCCATCTGTTTGGATTCCCATGTGAACTTGGCACTTGGCGGCCTCCATCTGGTGTGCTTTGGCTTGCTTTGATTGTGGCTCACGTAAAGATTGGGCAAATGTGGTCAGTCATGTTCAGCATTTCCGTTGAACTTTTATAATGTAAACTGACGTTGTACTTACATAAATATGAACTAAGACACTGAGCATAGCACGCTCATGACTACATAACTCCTTTTAGAAACATTCGCAGTCACTGAGGTCCACTTTTCCCATGTATTAAACATATGCCCCAATACAGTTAAAATCTTTGCATGAATACTGAGCAGGGATCAGATTGTGTATCAGATTTGGATAACCGAGTTACCAAAAAGACTGATTGTAGCTATTTAAGGGAAACACAACTTTTGAATTTGACAGTGAATGAAGACATGACTATAACGTAAAGCAAGTTAAAGCAGCCTTTAAGTGTTTGCAGACTGAGGAGTGCACAGGTTTGTCTCATGAGGGTCCAATGCACACTTGAAGGTGCACTACAAATGAGCCATTTTTCCGTGCAGTGTCCAGTATCAGCTTGAAAATGCAGAACTGATGGTAAGCAAACCAACCAGGAACAGCTGTATGTGCAGTATTCTTCTATATTTCCTCACTGGCTCAATGGTTTCCTCACTCCAAATTAGAAATGTCTGGCACAGTCAGAACATTGACGCAATGTGGCTCCAAAAGCCTACTCTGACTTTCTTTCCAAATTGTACCTCAGGGGTGCCAACCTTGTGAGTCTTGACCTTTCACTAAATCATACGCTTGAATCCCAATAAGCTGATGATTCAGCGTCTGATGTCTTAAAATTTGTGCACAGGATGTGACAATGTGTGTGTCAACAGAGATGGTCAACACAGGAGTGGTTCGACATTTCTTTCTGAGAGTCAGATGAGAAGATACCGCACCCATATCTGTGTGTTAGA